ATAGAATTTTTTAGTATTTTGTATTTCATCTTTAGTATTTACTATGTACCGCTTAAAACACACACATGGTTACCATAAACTTACCTAATGCTTAAGAAGTAGTATAAAATAGTCGAAAACTAACCAGTTCTATTAGGATCCCTCCACCACTGTGCAGATCGGCGGTTCCGTCGTCATGGTCGTGCCTTTCAGTTCGAAACGTGATCGATAGACGGACTACCACTGGCAGTCCGTCGAGAACTGCAAATTGGCCTCTCGCCGTTTGCCGTTTGCCGTTGCTGTTGCCAAATGTTTGGCCTTAGTCAAATTATGTTCTTTGGCCCGTTTGATAATGAAACTGCAAATCGAAGTTGGGTTCCCTCGCTTCGGGACTGGCTGACTGAGGCCCCTCAAATTGTTTGCTCACACCGTCCCGGAGCAACGCTAATGATTACGTGTTATCGTGTTGTAATTTTACACAGGGCCCTAATGATGAGTCTCGGTTCGGTTTGGATCGTATGGGATGGGATACGATAGGATAGGGCGACTTGCCCTGCCCCCACATTCACATCCACATCCACATCCATCTCCATCTGAGAACGATCGGATCGTATCGATCTGGCTCCGGGTTAGACACTAACTGGGCTCATCATGGAGCGTTAACAAGCTCATTTTTCTAAACTTGACGTGCTGAGTCCACCAACCATCCAACTAGAGATCCACTTAGGCAAAAGATCTTTGCAGATTATCGGACGCAGCGACTTGGCCAATTACTTGGCCACTTTGGGACGTTCCCAACCGGTGGGATCATAAATTGTTTATAATGGCATGGAGTGCGTTATGTCCTGGCACTTGGCCAAAACCGATATATGATGGGTTTAATATGTAAAGTATGTAAACAAAGAAGAATTGATAGTTTAGTAGGATTAAAAATGGATGGAAATACCTGCACTTTACTTAAATTAGAGTCAGGATCCGCTATATAAATTTAGGATTTATTTGGAACTAGTCATCTAATGATCATATTTGGAGACAAAGCATTTACCAACAGATTGATAATAAAAGTAATAGATTCCTTTCATAAAATAAAAAATTTGATTACAAATTCTGAAATGTTGAGTGTTTATATACAAGCAATTTTGAAATGATCTCTAAAATATACTTTTCCACCGTTTACCCAAAAAGTATGCAACGTAAAATAGAGCAATCCCTATCAGATTTTATGGTGTGTTCCGATTGGAATCTACAAAACCATAATTATGGACAAAAAGATCCCACAAACAAACACCCACGACAAATTTAGATGGGCTGACATAACCAGCGTTGATTGCATATGGGCCACAATGGTGAACAGAAATTCAAAGACAAAACGCTTTCCAGCTAAATCAGATGGGGAAACGATGGTATAGGAATCCACGAAGATCTTGGGGAGCATATTAAATTGAATTTTTATGTTCTCACAGCCCGGGAAAATCATGTGCCAGGCCATAAAAGTCAAGGATCGCCACGGTTCAGAACGGTGCAGTTGGGATCCGTTGAGTGTGTGGCTTAATAAATAGCCCCAACGGGGCAGGAGCGGGTTAAGAGCGGCCCTGGATCTGGATGGTGCGGTAAATTATGGTTATTTAAATAAACAGCACACGATTTGATTTGGCGGCCCAAAAGTGTTGCCAGCGCGCCTCCGAAATTGGAAGAGCGACGCGTCGACGTCTGGAAATTATGTTGTAGTTGGGCCCGATCACCGATCACCATGCGGCAGGATAGTTGCTCCTCCGATGATGATGGTGATGATGATGATAATGGTGATGATGCTCCGCCGCTCCGGACGGAAAGGGGGTTGTGCCATCAACTCTTGATTGAGTAACGCCCCAGAACTGGCGTCTAATTACGAGTTCCAGGAGTTGGCGGACTGGCAGCCCCGAACTGGCAGCATCATTAGCTGATGTGCGGTATTGACCCGGCCTAATCGGCGATAAGACTCGTGATAAGCAAACACGCATAAGGCTAAATGTGCCTGGTTGCTGCACAGAGCATGATTCCTTCGCAGAAAAATACTAATACTACTAAAAAATACTAATTTTCCCATATTATGTTTGTTAGGGTGTCTTAAGAACCCCTTTTTATATAATGATAATATATCAATATTTATTAAAAATGAAGTTAGATTGTATTGTTCTTTTTAACATAAAAAGAATCTAAAATAGTTTTAGGTACTAAAACAGGGTGTTAAATATGAATACCGAACAGATCATAATAATATTTAAATTTGAAATCCTAAGGATAACACACAATAATATAAATACTTTACTAGGTAGGATTGAAATGATATATACCATGTTTTACCATCAAGTTGTGCACACATTCCTCGAATTAAGATTACAATATAGAGATATTTTAATTAATAAGATCAGAATGTTGAACTCAAAATGCAATACAAATGCAATATTTAATATAATTTTTTTCCTGTGTTTCTGTTGGTGTGACCTTTTCCCGATTTGTGAACTGTTCTGTTCGAAAATAAAGTGAACTGACCATCGCGTCCAGCGATTCTCGTTGGCGTTGCGGTGTTTTGTTTATTTTGAGGCTATAATTTAAGCGGGTAATTGCACGCTGGCGGCCAGAATTTGTAACTAAACTGCAAATTAGCAGCCAATTCCCAGGCCGATTAATAACCATAATTATTGGCTCAAGCGCTGACGAGCGAACGTCTCGAGTCTCCAGCCTCGAGTCTGCTCCTCCAGTTTCAGGGATGAGGATGCGGATCTCGATGAGGAGGCTGCTGCCCTACCCGCAAATTGCACTTGGCCAAGGCCTGGGCTTTCAGCCGATTCAGCTGGCCCTCAATTGCCAATTCGTGATACACCCAGGCGCATATGGGTTGCACTCCAAAAAATGAAGTAACTTTGCGACAAGAAAATATAGAAATTAAGATTTGTTTGACATAATATTTATTTTATTAATTAGAAAAATATTTATTTTGATTTAGAAAACACAAAGCATCTCATAGCCAACTAGAAATTAGTAAGTACATAAGTAAGTAAATTATTTAGGTTGTTTTTGATTGAGATTAAATAAAATGTTGGCTTATAGGCTTACATGTTCTCTTGTTTTTTACAGTAGGAATATTATGAATTTGAACCAAGGTTTTGTAAAATAAATAAAATCATATTAACGTTACAACTTAAACAAATAAAAGTTAGGGCATTGTATGGAATTAAAAATATTTCATAAATAAAATATAAGTCTTATAATTTATACATAGCATTATAATATTTTTGTTTCAATATTTTATGACTGGAATTTTATAAAGTTTTAATTTGTATAAATTCAAGGTATAATTTTGTTGATTGCCACACGTTTTTGACTACTTTTTTTACCACAAATTTCACTGGACCTCGAAAGCCAATTTTTTTCAAGTGCTATTTTTTGTTTCATTATTTTTTGAATTACATATTATTTTAAGATTAATTTGTAAAAATTCAAGGTACAAATTTTATGATTGCCAAACGATTTAAAATACTTTTTTTACCACAAATTTTAGTGGATTCTGAAAGCCAGTTTTTTTAAGTGCTGAATCCCAAGCTCTGTCTCCGTTTCAGTGTCGCTCCTTGACTTCCCCGCGCCACCCGGCAGCAATTTAAATAGTGAGCGCCTGGCTTAATTACATAAAACAGGCAACACGAGAGGATCGGTGATCGGGATATATACCGACTCATATATATATATATATTCCCTAGCCGGCGGCGCAGTCGTCAAGTCTGGAGCTGGGCTCTGGACCACGACCACGACCACGACCTGGACCTGGGCCACTTTTGATGGACATGTGTCTAATGAAGCGGCCTAATTAATGTGCATAGCTGACGCGAGAGTCTCTTCCCCATACAGCATGCAAATGGATTGGCCTGAAAAAAGGGAAACTGAGCGGACGTAGAGTGTTGAAAGCCTTGAGTGGTCAAATTCGGATGGGCCAACAAATTACCGGCATTATACTAAAGCAGGCCGGACAAATTAATAAATGTCGATACCCAATTAAACTGTCCGAGTATAATGCACGCTATAAATTTGGGAGAGAAGCCAGAACGAATAGAGACATCCACTATCCAATTATCGATGCGAATGATTAACTGCGCGAGGTCAACGGCAAAGAAACGAAGAAAAATGCTGGATTGAAAATAATTGCACAGCCATCGAACAGAAAATACCGAAAAGCGGGGAGGAACCAGTGGGATTCTGTAATATGTGCATAGGTCTCTGCAAACAGAGCTGAACTAAAGAATATCATAAATCAAAAAGTAGTTTAAATTGTAACGGGCAATGATCGTCCCTTGAAATCGGGATGCCTATCGATTGCTTAACGATGGTTTTGGTATTTTTAAAGGATGGTATTTCTATTTGTTTATAATATTAAATTATTTTATTCATTTTTATACTAAACAACATTACGCACTATAAACTCCAAAAAAATAAAATGAATATATTGTTCATAACTGTTGAGTAAAACGGTCAAGCCCGCCCGCATTCTCATTTGGAAGAAACAGCTAGGAACTTAAAAGGTATTTTATAAATAAGCTTTTTTATTTTTGTCATTTATCGATAAGCGCATTCTTATTTAAATTTCCCGCGCACATTTATATTGGACTAGTGCGAATAAAGTATTTAAAACTACTATTTTTTCATACATTTCCCAGAAAATACCGATATACCAAGCTGATAACATTTATCCTCTATCGCTTATATGTAGAGTAAATGTAAAATAGCTTGGAAGATACATGTCGGGATTGGGTTTGTATTTACTTTTTTGAGATAATTAACATGTTCACAGATCCAAAAACCAAGCCAGACAATTTAAAAAACAATATTAAATATTGATTTTGAAAAAAGATATCTTTATAAGCTTACTTAATATCGATTGTTTGTGTTTTATACAAATTTAAAATCGATCTCGATAATTGCAGTAAAATAATCAATGTTTAGCTAACATTCTTTTAAAACAGCTGATCGTGCATGCCTGGGAACAAATTTGGAAAATTTGGAAATTCAACTGGAAAAGCAAATTTTGAAATGAAAATTAAATACTACGTGGTCAATAAAAATGACTTAAATGGAGCGATTGGAGTTCCTGCAGGCGAAGTTTTCGATCTACAACCTTGATGGTTGCCCGCTATCAACGCTAAACGAGCTGGACTAAGACATTGGCATCCTGGATGATTAAATGCTGTTGGTACAGCAGTCGAATTTTGGTGAGGGCAACGTAACTCTAATTAGTCATGGGGAGCGATTAGAGGTCGTACTTTTTTCCTGATGTTTGCCTGATTTTTTAATAATGTCAATGTCTGCATATACAGGAAGTCGTAAGGAATGCCTTGGTCTGCTGGTGTAGCTGCCTCTTTATCTAGAATGTGGACCGACTGATCCCCCCATGGTATCATGAAAAAGGAAGAGGAAAGATGGTATTGCCAACGCTGATGGATGTTCTGAAAAAGCAACCGCCCAGGAGTCACGAGCCGATTATCCTCTGCACTTCCATATGCTGTGGATCCAATCTCTCCAAGATGGGTCCAATTATGGCCGCAACGGACGCTTGAAATATGTTCCAGCCAGAGGAGCTGCTCCAAAATAAGGTCGCCTTGGAGACCCTGATCATCTCCACAGGCAAGACGTTCTATAAAGCGTTTTTTCGTTGTTTTAAACTACTTTTGTGAAAAATATTGGATGGCTAACAGCTGGTCTCAGCTGGATGACGTAGCAGCCAGCTTCTGTTAGCACCACTCGCAGCGAATACACACATACACTGCCAGGGCTGCAATAAACAGCTGATTGCTGAGTCAATTTTGGGATTGTATTATTAAAAAAACTGAGCTGTAAAACCTTTGCATTATACCTAGAAAATGTCCACTGAAATGGCGCATCGGATGAGGGCTATGAAATGCCCGACGGACGAACTGTCCCTAACGAACAGGGCCATTGTGAATGGTTCCGATTTCACGGAGGAGGTCAAGTGAGTGGTCTTTGGATTTATGTTTTCTCCGCGACTACGTGGGCGGATTTTCACGCTTCTCAACACCGCCTTCCCCCCAAAACACCCCAGATATGTGGACATCTCGCCGGGACCGGGGCTGCACTACATCTTCGCGCTGGAGAAGATCAGCGGGGCGGAACTGCCGCCCGGCCACGTAGGATTCTCGCTCGTCCAGCGGAAGTGGGCCACGCTCTCCATCAACCAGGAAATAGACGTCCGGCCCTACCGATTCGACGCCAGTGCGGACCTCATAACACTCGTGTCCTTCGAGACGGACTTCCTGCAGAAGAAGACCACAACGCAGGAGCCCTACGACTCGGACGAGATGGCCAAGGAGTTCCTCATGCAGTTTGCCGGATTGCCCCTGACCGTCGGACAAACCCTGGTTTTCCAGGTATGGTAATCTGATATAAAGAGTATGGGGGATATTTAGAGTTACTCCCCTTTAAAATCCTGGATTTTAGGTAGGGCAATTTGATATCAAGAATATGGTGGAAATGTAGAGTTACTCCCCTTAAAAAATGTATTTACTTTACAATCTCTCAGAAAATAGGACAGTATAGGTTAGAAATTTAATGATCCTCAGATCTGCTATCATAATTTCAGGAGAGGTTTCTATTTTATTTAAAACAGAGGGAGAGTCTTCTAAAGATATTAAACAATTTCAGAAACAATATTGTTAAAATAGTTTAGGATCGGATACCATAATCTAATAATTTCTATGATAGCTGCACCTCTTTTTTATTATTTCACAAGTCTTTTATTTATTAAATTTTGATAACCATTTACTTAGTCACGATATTGTATTTTGTAACTCATTGTATATATATTATAATAACTCTTTATCTGTTATTATATTTGTCAGATTTGTACATACCTATGCATGAATCTTACTGACTTCTAGAATGACTGGGGATGCTGAGTCATATATCTTTTTAGTAAATAATGGCCTAATTGACACCGTGATGCAATCTTCTGAGTTAGACCCTCACAAATTCAAATATGTATACATTATAGGAACCGAGATTTATAATGTATGCGCTGTACACGTCAGGAAAGCATTTGGCTCTCTGCCATGTAGGTTTTTTATGGAATGTGATTGGTAGACTTTTCAAGAACTAAATATTTTATGTTAGCCATATTATTTTCAGTTTTTACCAAGTAAAATTATTGTTCCTGTTGGGGTTCCCTTCTTCATATATGATCCTAACTTATTAACTAACTAATTTTTACATGTTATCCCTGGTCTAAAGTTTTTTTCTAATAAATGTTTTTACTGCCTTACAGTTTAAAGACAAGAAGTTCCTGGGCCTCGCTGTGAAAACCCTGGAGGCAGTGGATCCCCGAACGGTGGGGGATACTGCCCCAAAGACCCGGAACGTCCGGTTCGGTCGCATCCTTGGCAACACAGTGGTGCACTTCGAGAAGGCCGAGAACTCCGTCCTAAATCTGCAGGGTCGCTCCAAGGGTAAAATTGTGCGGCAGTCGATCATAAATCCGGATTGGGACTTTGGCAAGATGGGCATTGGTGGCTTGGACAAGGAGTTCAATGCGATCTTTCGACGCGCCTTCGCTTCTCGCGTTTTCCCGCCGGAATTGGTGGAGCAGCTCGGAATTAAACACGTGAAGGGTATCCTTTTGTACGGACCACCCGGCACGGGTAAAACCCTAATGGCCCGGCAAATAGGAACCATGCTGAATGCCCGCGAACCCAAGATTGTAAACGGGCCGCAGATCCTTGACAAGTACGTGGGCGAGTCGGAGGCCAATATCCGGCGCCTGTTTGCCGAAGCCGAGGAGGAGGAGAAGCGTTTGGGTCCGAACAGTGGCCTGCACATCATCATTTTCGATGAGATCGATGCCATCTGCAAGGCTCGTGGCTCTGTGGCAGGCAATAGTGGTGTCCACGATACGGTCGTCAATCAACTGCTGGCCAAGATCGACGGCGTGGAGCAGCTTAACAACATCCTGGTGATAGGAATGACCAACAGACGGGACATGATCGACGAGGCGCTGCTGCGACCCGGTCGCTTGGAAGTTCAAATGGAGATCAGCTTGCCCAACGAGCAGGGTCGCGTTCAAATCCTCAATATCCATACTAAACGGATGCGGGACTTCAACAAGATAGCCAGCGATGTGGACAACATCGAGATTGCAGCCAGGACAAAGAATTTCAGTGGCGCAGAACTGGAGGGACTTGTCAGAGCGGCACAATCCACGGCTATGAACCGACTAATTAAGGCGGATTCAAAGGTAGGGTTCTTATATATATGTAGGTTTACAATTGCATGGTAGTTAAGGTTATAATAAGTTCGGATACGGATTATGTCGCGTGCGAATCATAAGGTTACAATTATTAGATATATTTATATATTTCAGTTTTATCTTCGTTTACGGTTTCGGTTCTTGCGTTTATATAAGTTCGGTTGCTGTGAGCTAAGGAATCAATCCAAAAGACGTACACTGTTCGGTCCGATACCAAGTGAAATGTTATAATGGTTAAATGAATCGATTATCAATGCATATGTTAATAACTTCCCTATGTGTAAAATTCTAGGTTCATGTGGATCCCGAGGCTATGGAGAAATTGCGAGTAACCCGTGCCGATTTCCTACACGCTTTGGACAACGACATCAAGCCCGCTTTTGGAGCCGCCCAGGAAATGTTAGAGAATCTACTGGCGCGTGGCATTATAAACTGGGGTCCACCGGTCAATGACATCCTGGAGGATGGAATGCTGTCCGTGCAGCAGGCGAAGGCCACTGAAGGCTCTGGACTAGTGTCTGTTCTCATCGAAGGAGCCCCCAACTCTGGCAAATCAGCGCTGGCAGCCAATCTGGCCAAAATGAGTGATTTCCCGTTTGTCAAGGTCTGTTCCCCAGAGGATATGGTGGGATTCACGGAGTCTGCCAAGTGCCTGCACATCCGCAAGATCTTCGACGACGCCTATCGCTCCACGTTGAGCTGCATTGTGGTTGACAATGTGGAGAGATTACTGGACTACGGACCGATCGGACCCAGGTACTCCAATCTCACGCTGCAGGCCCTACTGGTGCTGCTAAAGAAGCAGCCGCCTAAGGGTCGAAAACTGCTTATCCTGTGCACTTCCAGCCGAAAAGATGTCCTCGAAGAGATGGAAATGCTGCCGGCTTTCACGTCCGTGTTGCATGTGTCCAATCTCTCGAACCCCGAGCATGTTCTCGCCGTGCTGGAGGACTCCGATTTTTTCAGTGCCGAGGAGCTGCAGAATATTGCCAGAAATATGGCCGGCAAGCGAGTGTGCATCGGCATCAAGAAGCTGCTGGCCCTAATCGACATGATCCGTCAATCGGAACCCCACCAACGGGTCATCAAGTTCCTCAGCAAAATGGAGGAGGAGGGCGGATTGGAGTTGGTGGCCAGATCGCACTAGCTACCGCCCATTTCCGAGCTGCGGTTGTCCATTGTGGAGCTCCACGACGCCTTCTAATTCACTTACATTCCATCTCCAAACATTTATGGTGGTTCGATTTGATTGACAGGAAAATTAAGAGTAGATAGCTTTACTTGCATTGTTTCTTAGTTTCTTATTTTCATCAGAATGTTTGGAAAAATCAGTTAAAATCGAACCTTAACTTTGATGTTGTTTTTACTTTAAGGATCTAAAGACGTTCTCTTTGTAGTTCAATGCTTAATAGTGACGAAACAGAAAAGAAAAAAATAGTATATTGTTATTTTGTTGCTTATTTGATGCAATGATAATGGATAAAATGCTATACTTCCAAGGAACTTTTAAATTTCAAACTTATTTGATTGAATCGGCGATTCACTGAAGTGAAGTATGAAGTCATTAATTGTATTGGTTTTTCAAAATGTGTCTAGTTTTATTTTACTTAAGTGAAATATTTGTAATTAAAACAGAAGATTTAAAACAGAATACAACAACGTATAGCACGTTCATACTTATTTTAATCACGGATTAATACACTTACGATTTACTACAAATTAACAAAGCGCACAACCTACCCGTAACTGAAGACCAATTTGTAAGATATAACCAGATAATTTGATAAGTTTTCAACTTTTATGGAACCAACGAACTTGTAAAACTCGCATTAGCGACTAAGGATAAATGCAGTATTTTTACCACGATATGTACGCACAGATTTACAATGACAATTTTTTACAAACAATTTGAATTTTTACAGTTTTTAAGATAAATGCATTTACCATGCTAATAGAAACAGATAAAAAACAGGAACTGAAAACAGATAACTAAATACAAAGCCGACAAGTGGCACACAACGTAGAAAAATATGAAACCAAAAATCAGTCTTTGAAGAAACTTAATAGTTTAAAGAAACTTACATGTAAAACACGTATTTTCACACCGTTCCAAAATGTGGATTTCAACAAAATCGTTGTATTTGCAGTTCGTCGTCTAATTAGGGATGTAAATAAATTTTATACAAACAAATTTTAAATCCCAAACATCTAAACAAATGAAATCTGTCAACATTTTCTTTACATCCCTAAGCAAGATCATATTAGGTTTCAAAACTAGCTGAAGGAGGTTTATGTCTCGGCTAAGAAATGTGGAATCTGATCAAAGCTTTTTTGAATAACGATCTAAACTGAAATTATAAAATGTGTGGGTTATTTGTAAATGTAATTTTATGGAAAAATATTGTGTATTTCAAGAGAAAAATAGCAAGCACAAAGATGTATGTAATAGTTACAAATAAATGGAGTTTACATAAAATGTATATTTTTTTTAACAATCTTGTCTAATTGGGAATATTTCAGGACTAAAGTAGGTTGTTATTATTTTATAAGGATTTTTTTTTCAATTCTGAGTTAATATATTTTTTTAAATTACATCTTTTTTTTGATATTTGTGCCATTTAAAAACAACATTTTCTTTTAATAACATGTATTTATTTTATGATTTCAAAATGAGGTTAGATATAATGATCTTCCTCAACTTACTGTAATGTGATTGGTAAATATTAAACTGGTCAAGACTGAATTCTTTGAAAATTCCCCTTAATTTGAATATTGTTTATGCTAGACGATCGCTGCCAGACAGAGACAGCTGTCCGCTTGGGAGGCGTCAGGTGGTTATCACTGCCCGGCGCTATATGGATATACATATTACCCGATCCATCGATCAGCTGTTCCCAGCGAGACCTGACGCCGGAACACAATCGGAGCAGCGCCGAGGTGCTGACCACAACCAGTCGCTCTAATATGCAATTTGAATAAATGATTTATAATGAAAACACTTTAGCCGCGCGTCGCCTGCGTATACGTAATGTGGAGTGGAGCACTGCTCGGTAATTGATATATGGCGCTAATTGCGCTCGACGCCCATTTGTGGTCCAGTCCGGCTTTATCAGCGTCGTCTGAGGAATCCTGGGTAGCCATACCCATACCCATAGACCATAGACCATAGCCAGTAGCCACGGTAACTACCAAAGCCATGGCCATGTCGCGACGGTGTCAGCTGCGAGCCAGCGCCGCTTATTAACTAATTAAAGCTGCATATTTCTTGAGATCTGAAAATTGATTTGCATTGCCAATTGCCCCTGGAATCGCTAAGCCGCAATCTCACGGTCGGTGAGGGAAATTCTGGACAAGATGTTTGAAAAACATTTTCACAACATGTTAAATTTACATTCTCAGTTTCAGTCTATAGCGAACTTAAATACTATAAATAGCTCAATGGGTATTTTAATAATGGTTTTCTTTGAGAGTTAATTACTTATTTAAAATAACTATTTAAATTTGCCTTTAAAAATCTCCTTGTAAATATAATTTGGAATATTTTTGGCACTGCAATGTTTTATTTAGAGAAGAACAAATATATTAAATTAAATCAAATAACCGAAAATCGAAACCTCACCTGGATTATGACCGAGTTAAGACCCCGTCCGCAATTAGCCCCAACTGCTCGTGATTCGGAGGAAAAGCCGACTCATTGTCGCCCACCCACCCGGCAATCGATGGGTAATTATATTTATTAGGGCCCGGCCACCGCGTCATCGGCGGTCTCTCACGTATGCAAACATTTTCATGACGAAAGTCCAGTCGGACAAAGTTCAGTGACCGGGCCAAAAATCAAAGCTGCGCTGCCTGCGAGGAGCCAAAATTAAAACCGAAACGGATTTTCATTCACCGTATGTAAAAATAAATGCGAAACTTTTACAATTCGTATTTTTGTTATTATTAATTGAAGGCAGCAGCGGCGCCCGTCGCACTCTTCACTTGTTCAAAGTTGAGTCTCCGGCTCACAGTGCTTCGTGATAAATTATTTAGAAATTAATGAAGTGGATTTCTATAATATATGAAAATACGAATCAATTTATTATATCCAGACTGAGTGAACTTTAGTTCTTAGATATGTTAATAAGAGCCATATACGAAACGTATATGGTATATGGTATAAGGTATTCATAAGAGCTATAAAAGTTTTTTGAATATTATCTTTGTTTAACATGTATAATGTTTAAAAATATTTATTTTAATTTTGAAAAATGTATATCTAATGAAAAATATTTATTAATATATATTTAATATTAATATATTTATATATTCTATATATTTAAGTATAAAGTGAATTTTTTTCAATACAAAACCTTTCTATAATTCTAAACCTATTTAGAAAATTTTAGTTTTTTGACAATATATTAAAATTAGTATTTTCCAATTGCGACTTTTTCTGATCATATTTTTAAATGTACCCAAATGTTTTTTTACTGGAAAAAGTTTAAGTAGTCATACAAATGCATTTTTATATTATTTTAAAATCTATTATGTATTTTTTGGAACTTTGTTTTAATTTAATTCCAACTTTGTGAAATTTGGAACACTGTGCAATCGCGCCCCTCGTAAACTTTGAAACCGGCCCGGCTTCGTTGTTTTTGTTGCTGGCTTAAAGCGCAAACGCCGGCAGCGAAGGTTCGATTTCACTTTCGCACGCTGTCCCCTCCCCCTTCCGCCCACCTCCCCCTCCACCCCCTCCTCCCAAGGAGCGGTCGCATCTGGGGTGTCATGTTTTGAGCTTTTTACGAGCGGTCGCCGCTCTCACCTGCTTTCTTTCAAACGGAGCTGGTGCTTTCGCTCTCGGATCTGAGATATCCCATCGGTGGGGTCGCCCGCTCCAAGAGAAATTAATGGAAACAATTTACCTCTATTTTCCAGCAGTTTCGATCAGTCGATTCTTTCGCATCGTCCAGACTATCCGCGATTATTTCGGCGACTTTTGAAAATCCCATGGAAAATTGGCAGGTCGCATGTTTATACATGTACTGAAAAAAACTGGGACTGTATCATAAATTACTACCAAATTTTATTTTTAGAATTTTTGTGATTTTTATATAAAAGTTATAAATGTTATATTGATTTTACCCATTTTCTGTTAGATTTGAGACATATCCATACATTTTTTTAAAGATTTGTATTTATTTAAAAAATGTTCACAACACAAAAAAGTATTTAATAAATATACCTATGTAAGTCTCAGTCGCCAGTTTTAAAATTAAAAATATTGGCTATATTAAAAGGACTTATAATTAAAAACAAAAAAATGTCAACATAAAAAGTCTATCTATTACAACTGACACTACTCTCACTCCTAATACGTCATTCTAAATTAAATAAAAGTCTAAAAAATAAAAATCATCGCGGTTTGTAAAATACAATGTCTATTAATGTCAATGGTGTGGTTGGATTTTTTGAAGAACTTTTCCTTGTCAATGATTTTTTTGTTTGAAAATATAATAATTACAGTTATTTTCGAACCCTACCCAATTTTATCCAAGTTTGATAGTACGATTTACAGTTTCTTGAGAAAGAAGAATTGAATATCTATTAAAATTGTTTAATTAAGGTTATAAAAGGCTTAACAAAATAATTATAAGCCCATGTTTTTTTTATTTCCTTTAACTTTATCCCACATTTCTCCCAGTGTACGTGTGATCAATGTACTAAGCCAACATGCATATAACCATACGTGTTTGTACATACATAGGTATACCTGTGGAAGCAGTCCGGGAAAATGTAAAGCGAGTACAAAAGCAAACATCATGCAAAATCTTCCTGCATTACACAAACGCGGAAGATTTTCCCCGTACTCGCACATTTCATGGATTTTCCAGAGCTCAACCTGCATTTTCATGGCATTTCCATTGATGTTTTTCAGCTCGTTTTAGTGCCAGTGTGTGTGTTAGCATGCGAAACTAGCAGTTAAATTAGCAGTTTTTGCCGCTGCCTAAGCTACAATTTTACACTGCGACTCTTTTGGGCCTTTTCTTGGCTTTGGTTTCGGCTTCGCTTTTCGGTTTCTTTGCCTTTTATTTTTTATTTTCCCCTTTGCAATTTATAATTGAGTTGCAATTTGGCAGGCAACTATTTGTGGAATGCCAGGGGGCGCGGGGGATGGGTTTTTCGCGGAACTTGCATGCGTATTAGTCATCAACTGACTGGGGGAAAAAAACATGGGAAATAATCGCATTGGCAGATATATTTGGCAACAAAATGGAGAATTAACCCTACAACTTTACTGAATTCGTAAAGGGATTCTGAGAAATAGATAATTAATAAAACTTGTAACAAGACTCTTAAATCTAAATAATACGAAAACCATTTTTAAAAAATTTATGTTGGTTTTTTAAATCATGTCATAATAATAATAATATTATTTTCCTTTTTAAAGACAGAAAAATGTAATAAGAAAATATAGACGGATAAGATTTTCGGATCTTTTTACTTATTTGTTTCACATAACATATAAAGTAATTTAAAACAGTTGACACACTTTTCTTAAATGGAACCATAATGCAATGATCGGACTTATATCTAAAACACCCCATCCAGCATTCAAGGGTTAAACAGAAGTATGTATTAATACACCATTTATAGCCTAAACAGAAGATACAACCCCCGATATTACACAAAATCGTCCATAAAAAAAAACGTGGCACGATCAAAAGGAGGCACAAATCAAAACGTAGAATCAGAATCCAGAGCAAAAAGCTCAGAGCTCGAAATCTGAAATCTGTGAAAATGTTGCCGCACGCGATCGAGACATTCGCATTCGCATTTCATTTTATTTCATTTCGATTCATTGATACCGGGGCCAAGAAAAAACAAGAACAAAAACGAACGGCCCAGTTCCAAATTAAATAATACGAGCCCTTGGCTGCCTTGCTCCTTATTATTATTATATTGTATTCCACCCTTTTTTTGCGTGCTGCGTTTTTTGTGTTTGTGTGCCATTTTCTTAGGAATTCCCGGCAGCCTCATCCGCATCCCGTGTCGCACGATCAATCAGAACTTCAGACTCCCAATCCCCTGATTTCGATCTGAATTCGGATCGCTATCGGGCTGCGTTGCGATCACTTTCCTTTTTCAAGACAGCTGAATCCTTTTTTAAGGGGCGGCACGTGCCTAGAACTCCCGATTTCTTCACTTTCCTCAGGTTCCATTTACTTTAGACCCTTTCAACCCTTCGGTATCTTGAATTGGAACGCCCACAAGTCATTTGGCGCAGTTAAACGCCACACGGATATACATTTCATTGAAACAGATTAAACTATTAGATCATTTTTAGAAGACCTTACGTATTAAACCTTAAAAATAGAAGTTCAACTATCATAAGCTTTAAGTTAGGATTATCATCCAAACATTGTTTCATAAA